GTAATAGTAATAGTAATAGTAATAGTAATAGTAATAGTAATAGTAATAGTAATAGTAATAGTAATAGTAATAATAACAATAATACAGGTAGACATATAAATGGATGGGTATGGGTTTTTGTTTTGTTTTGGTCTGTCGTTCATTTTCTTTTGTAATAGTAATAGTAGTTTTGACTGATTATCAAAAGATAATAGCAGACTCAAAGCATGTCATATGAAAGTCAATAAAACAGAATAAGTACAACTATTTTGCCACCTTAGAATATGCTTAAATGAGTTCATCATCTTTACAAGTGGTCCAAGGGTTTTCCTTGTATGTGTTTGTGTGTGCATGTGTGTGCGTGTGGGTTATCATGGTGAGAATTCAATTTTTTTCTTATTGTACTCTTCAGCTGGATTTACCCATTGTCAAAGTACCTCAGAAAGGGATATCTGTACATTTCCACGATGGAAAGAAGGATCAAAGAAAAATCGTCAGGATAAAATGCCCATATCAAACATCTATTTCTCTTAGATATTCAGAAAGTTCATACCTTAAGCAAATCTCTTGCCCGATCAAGAATGAAATTTGAAGATATGCATACTTTGAGAAGCAGGAGTTCAACTACATGTATTTAGATGGGTTGCAAGAAATAAAGTGTCCTACTAGAATATATTCCCAGTGATTTCCTACATTTTATCATGTTTACAAACCATTCTTGGCTGCCACTGAGGAAAAGAAGATGCAATCCATGAAGTAGTGTGATCCTGTGGGGATAAATCTACTGAATCTGAGAATGTAAACCATTTGTTCTACCAAATGATGCTATTTAAGTATATTTTTAATGGCCCAGTTTAATTTTCCAATCACTGAAATAGTACCATAAAGCTCTTCCTGAATGATAATCAAAACAAGATAAGTCGGCCATGGTTTATTAAATTAGAGGCCAGAAGAATATACATAAGAACTGCAGGGGGTGGGGGGACATGAAATAAATTTGGAAAAATACTCCTATATAATAAAAAGTAATTGGAGTTCATAAGGTACATATTAAAATATATTCATTCATTCCTTTTTATATGTAAAGCAGAGCTGATGTCTTCTAACACTGAATGCAGTGGCAAAACAAAAACAAAAAAAATCTAACTGGTATACAATTTCTTTTATTTCACTGTGTCAAGTCCACAGCGTCCACGCCCCAATCCCAAAGAATTCTCATGCAACCAGGCCTGGTTCAGAAAATGCTCCTTTATTCTGTGGTACATGTAGCTTTGAACAAAACATTGCTAAAACTAAAGCCTTGAAAAATTTCCCTC